AGAGTGGCTTTACTGTCTCCCTTCCACCCACGGATAACACCTGGCTCTCAGCGTTAGCTAGCCCCTCATGTGAGAGTCTCATACCTCCGGAATAGAAGCAGAGACGGGCACGGTGAGGGAATGTCGGATTTTAGGATTAAGATTGTTGAGGCAGCAAAGTCGGACACATCGCTGTGCAAACGCCTTCTCGTTATTCATAATTCCATCCTGATTTTAACACACGTCCTGGAGTTTTCTGGAGAGACTACTTCATCTGTAGCAGAGGTTCATCATCGGGGAGCAGAGAGGGTTACGATCTATACGAGATCACAAAGACGTCGTTCAGAGAGCGGTGCGACGGGACTTGAAGGAACATTCGGGATGATTATGGATCGAGGACAAAATGTGAATGAAACATGAAGAAATGGCGGAGACAGAGCGAAGGACACTGTTGTTATGTCTGCTATGTCGTCCAAGTACTCAACTTCCCTTCAGCTTGACTTTCATCATGCCCCCCCCCCAAACACAACATTCTGGAAATATTTGGCCATCAGACTCTGCCAAGGCAGACATTTGGCAATCCCTTCAAAGCAAAACGTTAATTTACTCTTTTGTCAATAGTGATTATGTTTTGTAAAATCCACTTTTCACATTAGTTCCAAATAACAAACAAAGATGGTCTGTTTCATTTCCCTCTCTTCTTGTTTCTTTCTTGATGTTTTTTTTTCTGCAGGCTGAATTCAACCTCGCTGCAGATATCGTGCCTGAGAAAGTTCACATATAAAATACACAAAGAACGCTGCTTGTTCTTGCCATTGTCTCTTATCTTGATCGATGCGAAACAACAACAAATCATCTATATTTCATGAACATCCCCAGTGTATAGATTGTCTGTCGTCTGCTTTCTTTTCTCGCTCTCCAGACAACAGAACATGCACACTGCTTATTTCTGGAGCTCAGAGAAGAAGAGATCTGGCGGCGTTATCTTCTCCGAGTTTAGCTTGCCGTGTCTGCAGACGATTGCTCTGACAAACCCGAGCTCCACTTTAATGTCAGATTTTACGCGTGCGCATAAATTTGTTTATGCGTACAAGGGTTTGCCTTTCTCATTAATCTCTTGTCTTTAGCTCTTCGAAGCCCATATTTGGTCTTGTGCAAACACGGTGCGATCCCTTTGCTCCAGCTGCTTCTCATCTCAGACGGAGACGTGGCTTTAGTTTAAGCAGAGGGCACAATGAGAACAGAGCACTTCACAGTTTGAAGGCAGAAATACATGTTACATAGAGGAGAAGAGGAAATTGTCATCCTGGCACACTGTAGATTTGAATGATCTTCTGCAGACCACTTAAGATCAACAAGCCCAGGTTCCTATCTCTCCAAAAGCAGACATAGCGGAGCATAAGGAGGGTTTGGGGGGGATTAATAAATAATTGGATGGCGGTTCAGTCGGCGGTGCGCCATCAAAGGATCAGAGGAGAGCTGTAATGGTGATCTGGCCTCATTTTTTACCACAGCTGTCTTCTCTTCAGTAACAAGCATTTGTGAGACAGCATAAGCATCTGCAATAATAAACAAACTACAGCTTGGTGAATGTTTTTCTTTTGAGTTGTTCTTGCTTTGAGGCTGCACAGGTTGACCCATCTTCAAGTGTTCTCTCTGTGCTTTTTGCTCTCTTTCAGGGACATCCCTGTGGACTTCAAGTACATCGCCGAGCCCAGTATGCACTCAATGCCAGCTGTGACACTGTCTCCCAACGGTGAGTAGTCTCATCACGGCGAAACACTCCCAGAGACACAGGACAGGAGTCCTTTGGGCAGCATCAACACATGTTGCCAGATTGAAGTTGATTCTGTTCCATACCTTCCAATGGTGGTCATTGCGCAAACAAGGCAGGCTCTGTGTCATCTAAGTAAATGTATGTGTGGGGATGTCCAGATACAGTCATCAGGATCAGGCCCAATCCTGATATAGACCCGATCCATCTCCAATCCTTTTGTTTGCTCTGGGTAAGCCGGCTGTCACAGACGGCCCATTAAGCTCTGTTGAAACACTATACGGCCCCCTTAATGCACAGTATTGTGAGGGAGTAAACCGTAGAGCGCATAGCAGCCAGCAGGTTCATGTCAGAGGGATGAGAGAAGCTGCATTGCGTAAAACACAAACAGCTGGTCGCCCTTATTTCAGTGATACTTCTCTGTTGACGTTAATGTTCGACCTTGAGCTGAAAAGATGTCCAAAATATCCAAACATGTTGAGACATTCTAGAGAAAAATATAGGAGAACGGCAAATGAAAGCTGAGTAATAAACTATACGAATAGTTTGACATATCCAATAATACGCCTATTTACTTTCTCGCAAGATGTAAAGAAGCCACTTGCTGGCACAGTAGCCACGTTGTGTGTAGCAGCACACGCCTAAGATACGACCAGAGTTAATTCCTCCGTTTGAATCAGGAATCCCCCGTTGCGCTCCATCAGCTTCAGCTACCGTCATGCTCTCGTGTCGTCGTCTGTTCCTTCCCTCTCCACCTACTTTGATTCCTCCCTTTCATCCTCACCCGTACACACTCTCCCCGGTCTCCTCCTCGCATTCCTATTTGTGCCAACACGGTTTGTTTCTCTTGAGCGTGTGAATAATGAATGCATTCTCAGTGGGAGGCCATTCAGTTTTCTCTCGCACCTAAATGGACCCTCCCCCCCCCCTCTGGCTCAGCGTCCACAGCCTCTCTCCTATTTCCTCCTCTCCCCCGTTTCTTGCCATCTTAATGAAAAGAGACAAATCTGCTGAAATTGGCCAAGTTGTTTTCATTCTTCTGCGTGTATTGCATTTGTGGACAAGTGTCTTTTTAATTTGTTTTGTGAGGGGAGGATGTAAGAAGAGGACTCACACTCCAACACTAGATCTCTTTCTCTTACCACATTAATAACTTCCATCATGTTTCCTTTCAGGAAAGTGCAGTGAGTCATGTAATGCTCTGACACTGAAGCACTGCCGGTTATCACTGCGTAGTGACTCTGAGGCTGTCGCGGTGTCAGGAGCTGAAATGCTCTATAAAAGTAGATCTCAGATAAGCAGTCACTGATGAAAAGCCTCTTCTTATTTTCTCCTAAATTGCCTCAAACCTTTCATTTTAATGATGGCGGAATTATGAGTTCTCAGAGTGTCATCTCCTCAAACTCAAATTTACACATTTTAGTTTGATTTCTGCGGCATATTTGTAAGACATTTGACTCTACTGGATGTAGCACTGGATCAGCTGCCAGGTTTAGCGCCTACTAACAGTAGCAAGCAGCATCATGACTCCACCGTGGCTGCTTGTTATACACAATCATGTTAATGAGACAAACTAGCACGCTAATAGGCACTTTAAACTTGTTGTGACAGCCTTGAAGTTATTACCGCTCTCCTACTTTATTTGGGCCTTGAACCTTTGTACTGCACCTCCCAATACTTATATTGAAATAGATTTTTTATGGTTATTTTGTAAGCATGTTATACAGTGAAGTAGTTTGCAGCACCACTTGAGATTAGCTGTTGGCTACATGCTGTTTGCTTGTTTCTTACCCCAGGTAAATGGCTAGCGTGCCAGTCTATGGACAACCAGATTCTGATCTTCGGAGCCCAAAACCGCTTCAGACTGAACAAGAAGAAAGTCTTCAAAGGCCACATGGTGGCTGGCTATGCCTGCCAAGTGGACTTCTCCCCAGACATGAGGTAAGCCTTTACTTTGTTCCGCAGTTTTCTGATGAAGCGGATTAGTAGGTAGCTGAGATTCTCGCAGCCGATTCAATTGTTTAGAATAGTTTATTCGTTTTTTAACCGATGAAGGAAAATATGCTACAAGCGGTGATTCATCTGTTTCTTTGAGGAGAGGGTTAGAGCTGTCTTACTGAGTGGAACGTTTCACAGTGAGATAGCATTATACAGAGACACGCTGTCCTCTAAAATGCCTCAGGTTGATGAAGAGCTGTGGAAAATCTGATTATCTAATGTTTAAGTTCCACAAGGAGAGCTAACCGGGACAGTCCAGGAACCTAATTTTAGCCAAATCACCCATTAAAACCTGTTTCTACCCTCTTCTCACCCACCACCACCCACATTTGTGAGTACGGTGAGACAAGTTATTTTTATCAAAGCATTAATCTTTCCGTCCTTTTTTTGTCTCGACTTCTTCCAGCTATGTGGTGTCAGGAGATGCGGATGGAAAGCTGAACATTTGGGATTGGAAGACCACCAAGCTTTACCAAAGGATCAAGGCTCACGACAAGGTGTGCATTAGCGCACTTTGGCATCCGCATGAAACCTCTAAGGTTATCACCTGTGGCTGGGATGGACAAATTAAACTGTGGGACTAGATCTGTCCTGGTATGTGTGTGTCTGTTTGGGGAAGGGGGGTTCTGTACTGAACTGGTTCACTATAGAGAGACGGAAAGGGACTAGGTGTCCCATGGATTTTGTGAAAGCCACAGGACTGGTATCCAGTCCTATTGTTGCAACGTATTTTTTGTATCCCGCCGTGAGAGTAAAAATATGTATTATCTGTACAAAGATGACCACACACACGTACTTTTTAAAATAGTTTCTACTGCAAACGGAATATTAGAGGGGAACCTTGACATTTTTTACAAATATTTTTTGTTATTTTCAATGTTCTGTGTAGTATACCTCTGTAATCCTTGGTAACGATTCTTAATTTCCAATTGTGTGACCGTCCCATTGTGGAAATAAACATTCTGTAAATTTGACTTCTCAAGAAAATGAAGCGTTGGTTCCTCAAAGAAAGTCTTTCTTCACCCATATTCAACACAATATCCTACTTCTTTTTTTGTTCCTTTCTTTATCGAACTGTGTATCAAAATATTTGGCAATTTTTACATTAAAGGTGAGGATTATTTCACTGTCAGCCCAGTGCTGTTTTCAGAGAAGTTTGTTTGTGAAGTTCTGGTGCAGCAGAGACGGTGAGAGTGAGGCCAATCTGAACACCAGAAGAAAACTGGAGGAGGAAGTGACGGCTACACAAAAAGCTTCTTTGTGTGGATCTCAATTGTTTTTATTATAGGAAAAAAAAAAAACAATTAGAGTTCATCTTTTCTTTTTGTCTTATTCCCACACACTCGCCCACACAGCCAACAAACGCACCGAACAAATCCAGAGACCTCGCTGCAACGTTCTGCAGCTCCAATGCCCCCGCCCCCCCATTAAATAGTCACAACGAGGCAGGATTTTTCATCTACTTGCCCCTGTTTAACATCGTGTATCCACTTCCTTAAACTCATGTTCTGTTGAGTGAGAATATTGTAACCTGGAAAGGTCGTCTAATAGCAGGGGGCGGGGGGGGGATCACTGGCTGTTAGGATCATGAAGACGGGGGTCATGATGAGTCAAGAAGCTGACCTGCAGCCAACAACTCTGCCACTATGAGGTAGAACACAGAGAGCCTCTGGAGGCAGTTCACTCTGCCTCCTCTTCACGGCTGAGGTTATTACAGGCTAGGAGAGGAAGAGCAGGAGGATAAGTGAGCACGAATTTCGACTTTGAGGCAAAAAGGTCAGGCAAGATAAGAGAAGTCTGTTGGGGAACAGCCGTGCTTTAACAGGAATTTGTGCTCCGATTTAAAACTCCATGTTGAGCAAACATGTACATTTCCATTCAGAAGCTGTTCCAGTCTGGCTTCCCTCAAGGCTTCCACTCCGTGTTCACCCAGCTCAGGGTGTAAGCACTGCTGGCATTCAGGACATTCTTATGCAGAAAGAGGTGAGGTTTGGCTGGGTCGCTGTTGACGTGAAAGAGGCGGAAGTTTGCGTGCTCGAGTTCCTTGAGCAGGCTGAACCAGTACCGCACCACGGACGGGTCATCACCGCCCACCTCAAAGCCCGCCCAGTGAAGGTGAAGCTCCAACAACAGCTGACCCACTGAGTCCAGAACTCCTTCCAGCACCAAATTCTCCAAAATCTTCCACTCTGCGCTCTCCATATCTGCCTTCAGTACATCCACCTAAAACGGGGGGGAAAAAACACATTGGATGTTTTTCTTCTTCAGGTAATAAACAAGTTATTTTATAACACTGGAATTACACCTAACTGTGTGGAATTATTCAACGCAAAAGCTATTAAAGGATGAAAAGGAGTAAGTGAAGCTTGGCCTTTGTTCTTGCTTTAGCGATGTTGATGATGGATTGAGCGAGAGAGCAGCCTGACAAGGCCTGCTGTGTCGGAGCACAGAGGAAATGCTTCATAAGATGAATGTTAATAGCACCCTTAGGTCATATCATATGAGGAGACTTGTGCATGGCCAAAAGTTTAATGGACATTCTCAGGATCTTGGTATTCCTCTAAGTCTTCTGGATTGCGAAAGAGGTCCATTGTCTGACCTTTATGTCTTTAAAAGTCTATTTGGAGACGGTGCTTTTATTCCTTCTCGGCCCAGCACGTTCTCAGCTAGTATATCATGTCAGTAAATTAGTAGTGATAAGACCTGAGGAGAGATTTGGATTACAAGATGTATCAGAAAGGGGGCTGAGGTAATGATTATTACTTTAAAGATAACATGAGATACTAGCTAAAGGAAATTCACAGTGTTCTGTCTTTTTTTAATTGTGGGAAACGCTCAAATATCTGCAGCTAAACTCAGAACATCATCAGTCGGCATCTGACAGCACAAGTATTAAAGTGACCATGAAATTCCTTTACAACTGATGCCTTTGGTGACGCTACAGAATTCCCATTCCTAATTAGTGGAACCGAACAAAGTCTCTGAAATTCTAAAAAAGCAGCTATCTATGGAGAACAACTCCAAATGTTGTCCTCTCTCCTCCCTGTGGGCCTTAAAGCTCTCCCAAGCATATATGTTGCTTAATTGGACAGAAACCTCCTGAAGGAAAATGATATGGCATCATCAAGAGGTGAAGTATTAACTTTGTGTCTAAGGCCAGTGGCTTTTATTATGCGTCATGCTGTGTTTGTGTGCATTTGTCATTGTTGGATGTTATTTTTAGAGCATATGGCTTCATTTTTTCTAGCTTTATTTTCCTCCACATAAATTGCCTGTCTGCCTCAACGGTCCCTGATCCAATGCTGCCAATATTAACTGTCTGCTGGAGAAGTTACAAGCCCTGGCAACACAGTCCATATAGTGTTGGAGCTTTGTAAAGATGACTGCTGTACCGCTGTGCAGCGTGAGCATCGCTAAATGGTTCCTTAACTGTGCCGGAAGGAAATCAGATGATGACCGTTTCCTTGTGGTTGGAGAGCAAAGTAAGATTCATCTTCTAGCATCTCTAAATGTCATTAATTAACACGACATAACTTGTTTATTTTATTCCCACAAAAAACAAAATGTAACAATAGCAATTGGTTTTATGAAATGCTATGTGCTGCAGGGATGGTGTATTTGTTTTTAGGCCAATCAGAAACTTAGCATAACACTGGTTCTCTTGAGAGAAAAAATAAAATTGGATTTTTCCATTGCATTTTGGATTATTGCAGAAATGAAGCTCTAAAAGTATAGTATTTTATGCACAATGTCTTTGCACTCTACAGAAATTCCTGCCATCCACTGCTGAGGAATTAATGTCAGAGTGTTGCAAACAGTCTTCTTACCCATAAGGCAAATATTTCCTCTCCTCCAAGTGCCTCGCACAGTATGTGATGAAAATACACATGGTAATTATTTCAGTAAAGCATCCGCAGGATTAGGCAGCATTTTGGGACACATTTTAATTTCGAGACTCTTTTGATGAAAAGTTGTCTGAGTCTTTGTAGACAAACAGGTTTTCTGATTTGAGAAAATAACTTTAAACGGAAGTTTACGCTTCGGCTTGTTAATTGGCCTGAAATGTGTTTATTTCATGGTGGGCAAATCCTAGCTAATAACAAGACGATTATGTAATGTCTCCTGTTGTTCCACATGATTAGTCTTGTCACAATAATTCAACTGTTCTTACTTGTAAACCAGAGAGACAAACATTACAGCTTATCTGACCTTTATTATTATTATTATATGTTTTGTATGCTTTCATTGGCGAGCCTGCCACAAGAGAGCAGATCACAATTGAAGATATTTAATTACACATCCGAGAGGTTTGCAGGATTGGGCCCTTTGTTCAGAAAATGAAAAGGTTATAAAGATGGAAGTATATAAAGATGGGTAAAGAAAAGGTTATAAAGATGGAAGTATATAAAGATGGGTAAAGAAAAGGTTATAAAGATGGAAGTATATTGTGCTTGTTTTCTACCTCTTGGTAATTTGGCAGTGCTTCATTTCATTAAGCATGGTAGTACCGCTGCCAGTGCTGATACTGTTGTATTTTCCACTTACCAACATGATCAATGGTCCAATATGCAGTTTCTCTCTATAAATGAGATGTGAATTTCTGCTCATGACATTTGTCCCTGTGTGGTAACGATGACTGTATCTCAGCTGGTCACCAGAGCTCAGTGAATGAGTCATCTTTGTAGTTTTTAACGAATACAGATAAGAAATGCTGCACAAATGCATATTTTGACCTTTCCGAGTGAGTCTATTTCTTCACTGCTGCTTTTCCCGTCACAGCGGCTGGGCGAGAGCCTTTGAGGAGAAGCTGTTCTGCTGCTGTTGCTGCTTGCTCTTCTGGCACACTATGTACATTAAAACCTCATTACCAGGATGTGTGCGTGGATTCGCATTTAAAACAGGTGGATACTGTCATCCATGAAACAGGATGGTGTACGAACCCACCCACATGAACGCATACACGCATCAACGGTTATTTCTTCATATCTTGTCACACATTCAGAAAATCTTCATGTCTTTCCAAGTCCCTTGAATGAGCCGTTATGCTTTGCTTTTGGCTCTAGAGAAATAATTATTAACTCAAGTTTTAAATGTGTGTAGGAAAGACATCATTGAGCAGCATGTTTGCATTCTGCACCAGCAGCTGATTTAGATTTGCTTTGATTTAACTCTTCATATATGGACAGGTAGAAAAAAGCAGCTTGACTCATTAGGTTGAGCAAATCATTAAAAAAACAACTTTCTTATTCCTAGTTGCATAAAAGTAGTGGAGCTATGACAGTCCGCCCATTAGACTTTGACGCGCTTGTATAAAAGTAAAGGTTTTAACCCAGTGGTGGTGCTCGACAAAAGGTCCTGGGTCACCAAAAACATTAGGATCTAACCTCTGGGGACAATAAATATCAATGACTTTAAGCCCCATGTGTAACATTTGAACATTTCTGACTTTGACAACTCCAAGTGGGAGTATCAACCAAGCAGGGCACAAACAACCTCTCGAATTTACTCATTTTTCTAGACAATAGTTTCTTATGCAATGAAAATTTTCTGCAATATGCTGTAATCACATCCTATCCTGGTTAGATAAAGGTTAAAAAAATGTAAGTTTCCTCAGAGAAAACAAAACAGCCGGACTGACATTCAGCTGTGTCTTCATTACCATAATGTAAGAGAAGCTTGGCTTCTTTGAATAATCACTCAGCCTTTTCCTAAACAGGCATGTTTGTTGGATCTATCTATGAGTATGTATTAGTATGCATGCTATACGTGGGCTTGGTGTGTGCATATGTTTGATCTTGTATGCAGATCCCTATCTGATGAGGTGGAACACAATCCTGGGGGGGGGGGGGGGCTTTAAAGAGGTAACATTCAGTATGATAATATTTAAAGGAGGAAAACTAAATGATATATGTGTATTTATCCACCTGGAGCCTGAGACAGAACAGAAGAATGAATCATGATGGGCTGTATTATGTTGTGGGGTGCGCTGGAATGGGCCGGTGCCTGAAACCTCTCACTGACACAGGAAGAACGATCCCTTTCATATGGTTCCAGGTGATTTTAAAATGGCAGAATTCTTCATAAATTGATATTATAGCCAGAGACCTTGTTGTATACAATCCCACTTATGCTCTACCTCTTACCTGTCTGTGTCCAAAGTCATTAAGGATGGTGGCCAGTTTCTTGGTGTTGGCGTACTGACGCTGGGCGACAATGGCCGGGTTAGGATCCCTCCAGTCTACAGAGAGCCGATGAAGCCACATTTCAGCCTGCTGCAGGTGAGGCTGCTTCAGACTGGGATCAAAGCAGTGGACCTCACATCCTGCCCGTGCGAGAGATCGCTCCAGGGACCGATCATCTACACCCAACCTGCAACCCACACAACGCAAGACACCGGGTATAATACTTATTAATACTAATGCCAAAATATGTACAGTGATGATCAGATAGGCCCTGATTTAAATACAAATTTTTTATTTCGGCAAAGTACATCTGCTTGTCTTTACACTGTGTTTATAAAAAAGACTACGAGTCTACAGCCATGCTAGTGACTCCACAACGGCTGTACTACGTTGAGCTAAATGCTAACACTAGTGTGAGATCTGAGTGTGTCCAATTTAATGTAAAATCTACTGAATGGCTTGTAAACTCAAAATATAGCCATCCACTTTCCCATCACGCTATCACTTAATAGCACCAAGGCCAATGGCTTACAAAGCACTACACAGTAGGAGGTCTTCCTCTTTTATTCCAATGTAAACCGAGCTTAAACTGTAAATGTATCGTAATGCTGTTTCTGAAAGACAAAAGGTTTCATCAAAGACCCAAACATCTTCTGTGTGACATGAAGAAACATGACTTACGACACACGTGGTCTTAATGTTGAGAAACATCAGCACAATGTCAAATACAATGGATACTGAAATACTGAATTCTCATAATAAAAGTTCACACAGAGACAGAAATACAGAGAAGCTGCATATCAAACACCACACCGTCACTGTGACCCTGACTTCACCTGCCCACTTAAAAGCCAAGAAATAAATAACTAAGAGTGCTTCTTCATTTTGAAATATGCTGAGTAAATCTAAGTAGACAGACACGTTTCTCTGTATTTCTCTTGCTCTCCTGTGCCTCACTTTCCCACTGCCTCTTTCACTGCTGTTCTCTCTTTATCTCACCCCTCCCTTCTCCAATTCTGCCATTTTCTCCTTTTCTTCCTTCTTCAGTCACTGTCTCCGCATTCCCTCGTGTCTAGTTTGTATTGCGGCTGTATTCTGTAATTGCGGCAGAGGGAGTACATTTTACAGTACATGTCTTTTACAGATGAGTCACCGGGTCGCCGCATGCATCCCACGAGCAGGGAGATAAGAGATGCGTAGATGGGAGAGATTGAGATGCAACTAGACATCTCTTTTTACCACAGTAAATATTTCATATTCTTCCCTGAGAGTTTCCCCATTCTTTCTGCTGCGGTGTTGTAGCCAGGAATCACTGCAGTGACACTGTAGACAACTGTCAGGGGGGACTACTCGATTACTCATGGAGTAGTGGGGTTCATAGTGCATCTGTGCGGAAAAAGAAGGGTCTCTACTAGCTGTAATATCCTCTATAGACTACAGAGTTATAGAGCGGTAACTCTCAAATAGTTGACTAGAATGTCCTGGCAACAAGATGTGAAGTGTGTGTGTGTGTGTGAGATGGGTGACAAACACCCAATGGATTGTGAATCTGATAAAAGGAGCCCTTAGTCCGCCTGTCCTCGCAATGAACTATAATGTCAACAGTCTCCGGATGTTGTGAAGATCTAAGCTAAATTAAGGTGCATAGCCTTGGCTTCAGTCAAAGATACACCTACGCTTAGCTCAGTTACTGAAATCAATGAATTTGAACACTGAAGACAAAAACATCCTCCCTCACTGAATAAAAGCCGGGAACTCGGACAAAATAATTGTTAATCACACCAGCCACAATTCTAATGATAATTATTATTTCCACATTTTTTCTTTGGAGGGCACTTCAGCTAAAGGGAACAATGGGGCAGCTTCTGGAGCCACTATTGGCAGCTATACTGAGATGGTTAAAGTGCAGCAGACTGAATGCACAAGTTTCAATGCCTGCTTTGTTTGGTCAGAATCTCTTTTTTTAATTTATTACAATGGATGATTCATCCTCTCAGACGATCTTTCAGCATCTGATCTGTTACTTCATAAGGAGAAAAAATAATGTATGATCAAAAACGATTGAAACCGGTATAGGAGGAGGAAGAAGGAGGACGAGAGAGGTAAGATAGAGTACGAGAGGCGAAAGTTGGATAGCTGGTCTTTCATGTGGAAAAATATCCAGCAAACCCCCCCCCCCCCCCATCCACCACCACGTGACAGACCAATCAGAGAACAGCTGCTCATCCTGCCTCGGCACAGCCATCCACGGCTCGTTAAACTGCATGCAAATGAGACGTATCAACCATTCACACGCACAAAAACACACGAAATAAGCACGCAGGAGTACACACACAACCGTACATACACAGTCATCCTAATGCACTGAGTTCAACAGTGAACACACACACTTAATAGTATTTGACGTTTCTATTAAAGCCATAGTTACGTGCAGCAGTGGACTTTAGTAGGGGGATGTGTGAGTCTCCTGTACAGCGGAGAGCAGAAGTCTCCTGAGAATAGGATACTCAGCATACCTGGCATATATTCAAGAGCATGACCATGGAATATGTGTGTGTGTGTGTGTGCGTGTGTGTGTGTGTGTGTGTGTGTGTGTGTGTGTGTGTGTGTGTGTGTACTATGAATCTAGGTTAGATAAGGGACATGGGAAGGAGAAGATCACTTGACGTATCCAGAAAAGTGAAACTTCAGAGAGCAGCTTGCCTTGTTAAACTGCTGTACTAACTGGGCTCTTTGGACTTTTCTTTTGTCACTCCTGAAGTATCTATTTGTCATAGAATTCCATTTTTTAGGTCGACTCACTGTTGTATTGTATAAGCCAGAGTTGAGGATTCAACTAAGCGTGGATTGAATTCCTTCCGGAGGTCTTAATGGATCAGTTAGACAGAAGGAATACTGGTAATGTGACTTTCGCTGACGTGACAATTAGAGCTGTGAGTCACATTTTCCCAAACTGATATTCAGGTCAAATGTTTGCATAAATGACTGAGAGGATGCATACTATTCTTTTTATTTTTGGTGAATGCCCATGTAGCTTGCCTGCATGAGCGACTTCCCATCAGTCAGCCAGAGGATGTCAGATATGTTTTTCTCGAATGCCTCCATTTGACCCCTGACCCCCACCATAGAGAGGCAGGAAGTCATAAAAAGCAGCCCCTCCCATCTCCCATCGCCTCCTCCCGCATCAGTATCTGTACCCTGCCTGCCTTCATGCCAGCACACCTGTGCTGTCTCTCAACAGTCCAATTAATAAACTCCCTCTCGCTCCTGCAGAAAAATCCTGCAGCACCTCAGCACAGTGGAGGCCCAGCAGGGCAGAAACCGGGCTGAGCTGATCCACGACGCAAAGCCAACTGGGAGTGATTGTCTCTCCAATCTTTTAAGAAGGTCAAATACCTTGGTGGCCTGGCTGGCTCCATTCAAGATTACTTGCCACTCAAGGAGAGGAAGCAGAGGTGGAGGGCATGCGACGTTCCAGGTGGAGGTACAGTTAAAGCAGACAGAGGATTATCTTTACTCTTATTGCTGTGTTCTTTCAACAAATCAAATTGCCCCGAATACACAAAGAAATAGAAACCTAACTGATACATGGCACAAGAAAAGTGAATATTTCTACTCTGTCAGAGATAGACAGATCCTGAATAAATACAGGCTCAGTGACCAATTAGTCATTGAAATTGGAAGACATAAAAAGACTAGGCCAACAGGGTACGTGGAGACGGGGATACTCCTCTTCTGTTGTGTGGAGAATAGCCTTCATTCTTTGAAGAAATTGTGAGTGAAACCCCAGAATTTCTGCTCTTAGAAGAAAATTGTCATGGGTGAAATGACAACAGCGGCAATTGTGACTAGATATATCGCAGCCTGTCACAGAACCAGATGCTCTGCAGATAGCTCACTGACTGAAAATGAATGTTGGGAACAATCCTGTTGCTCTACAGATGCAGTACATGACAGCTTGTCTCAAAGCTAATGTACAGAACATAGCTTATTTTGTATAACTGATTACAATTAGGGTTGGGTGTTCGAATAAAGGTTGACATTTTAACATGTGGTGGTGAGTGTGACATTCGAGTTAGGGAATTAATGTCTTCAGTGGATGGAATATGGAAATGTTTGTCTGTACGCACCCAAAAGAGTACACCCTGCAGTGTTTGCCTTGTATCCTGTGGGTCAGGCTGTACTTGGGGTCCAGACATGCAGCCCAGGCAGCTTTGGTCCCCTCCTGAGCAGCTTTCTCACCGGTCAACGATGCACACGACACCTAAACACATAAAGACATATTATAACAGCCAATTCCGATATTGAGAACTAGAGTTTCTCGTCAAGCTTATGTTGTTCCCTGGCTCAAACTGTGAGTCCTGTATTGTAAATGTAATGTACAATCTGAAAAAAAAGCAATGAATGGAGTCCCAGTAAGTGTAAACAATCCCACCAGCATTTAAAAGCCAAGAGTGGCACTCTCAGAAACAGTCCTAATGTGATGAACATCTTTTCCTCAAAATATCTGAACACAAATGCGATACCTCACTGGAGACTGCTACTGAATTTGACCTTGGGCCAGTCTGTGTTTGGGCCTCAGTGTTGAACAACGTTATGCATACTATTCATCATGATGCGCAGCTGGGGCAGATGACTCAGCAGCACTGCCAAGTCTCCCAGCAGTAGAGTGAGAGACTGAAGAGAGAGGAGATTGAAGTTTTTCACATGTACTTAATATGCTGAAAATTCCAAACAGGGGAGTGCAGGTTGTTTTCCATTCAGAGTGTTTCTGTGGGTATGTTTTGGTAAAATATGCACTTGCATAAACTATTTACACACAGACAGTAAACATGTGCATACGTGTCAGCGTGTTGATTGTGTGTATGTCTGCAGTTTTACAAGGGACTAAGCTTTAGTACAGGACCCTCTGCTCAAATGTTTGATGTCTAATTTATTTAAGCGCCGTCTGCGGCAGAGGGTCAGTTTGCAGAGGGAGGAACAATATTGTCTCAGACATGATTATATGAAACATAAATCTATGGTTCTACTGTACACCATTCTTGTGTAAACAAGATACGATGTGTATAAGTCTGTGTGAACGTTCTTGTATTAATACTTACTGTGTATTATCTAACACTAACCGTTTACAGAGTTCTCTCAGGTTAAGCAATGAAGCAATGGAGAAATAATAATTGCTTTCGAAAGGTATTCTGTTGCCTGTGAACGATTAGCACTGTATGCCAGCCTCTTATAAACCCGCATCTGTTGTTAACTTAAAAATGGCATTTGAAACTTCTATTTGTGCATGTTTGAATTCCCTTGTGAAGGGAGTTAGTTTTTTGCAGCTTCAAAAAAACCTCTTAGGCATCATTTCCTTGCTCTAACCAAACATGGTAGTCCAGATGTCCCTGTCATCAGCAACGTTTTTTGGCTCCTCCTGGGAGCTTCCTGAGGCATTTCTCAGCCAGATGAGATATAATCTCTCCAGCGTATTCTTGGGTCATCCCCGGGGTCTCTTGTTATTTGGACGAGCCCGGAAAACCTCCAGAGGAAGGTGCCCAGGAGCCACCTCGATCAGATGGCTCATTTATTATTCAAAGGAGTGGCGACTCTACTCCAATTTCCCTCAACATGTCTGAGCTCCTTATCCTATCGCTAAGGTTGAGCCCAGCCAATCTATAGAGGAAACTCATTTTGGTTGTTTGTATCCGCGATCTCATTCTTTGGTCGCTACCCAAAGTTCATGACCAGAGGTGAGGGTTGGAACGAAGATCAGCTGCTAAATCAAGAGCCTTGCCTCCAGGCTCAGCTCAGTTTGGTGCAACACCTGCATTACCTCTGATGCTGCACCAATTAGCTTATTGATTTCCCATTTAATTGTACCTTTATTTGTGGACAAGACCCAAATATACTTTATAGCTTCTTGGGCTAGCAACCCACTCCCAGCCCAGAGGAAGCAATCCAACAGAACCCATCATCTGCAAAAAGGAGAGAAGCAATTCTGAGGTCCCTAAACAGCTCACTCTCCTCCCTCGGCTGCGCCTCGTGATTCTATCCATTAAAATCACAGCTAGAACCGGTGGTAAGGGACAATCCTGGTGGAGCCCAACACCCACTGAAAATGTGTTTGACTTATGGAGAGTACAGATGCAGCTCTCACTCCTGTTATATAAGGAATGGATGGCTCATAGCAACATGCTCAGTACCCAATATACAAGCCTTCTCCAAGTCCTCAAAACAGATGTGGACTGGATGGGCAAACTCCCATGACCTCTCTACTAATCTAATCTTGCTAGTTTAAAGAGCTGGTCCACTGTTCCACCACCAGGACCGAATGCCCATTGCTCCCCCTAGAGCCTCCTCTCCAGCACCATGGCATTAGCTCTCCCAGGAAGGCTGAGCAGTGTGATTATGCAGGCAATGTGTGCAACTTCCACAGAATGTGCTGGTCGGGTTCAGGAGTTCCTCAAAGTGCTCCGACAATCCACTGCGCGACAATATCCCCAGTCAGGGTCAGCAGTTCTCCTGAGATGAACCCTGCTTTCCCTTCCTGAGTCATCTGACGGTTTGCCAGACGTTCTCCATAGCTTTCCTGAACACCTTCGATGTCCAGGTTTTTGCCTCAGCTACCACCAAAGCCATAGCACCTCTGGTCCCATGGCACTTGTCTGCTGCTTCAGGAGACCCTTGTGCCAACCAAGCCCAAAAGGCCTCCTTCTTCTGGTTCTGTCCACCAGCGGGGTCCTAGGTTGCCACAATTACAGGCATCAACGACTTTCTGACCACAACTTAAAGTAGCATGAGAACTTTTTTCTGAAGTGGGAATTAAAGATCTTGCAGATGGGGGATCACTGCGAGACATTCCCAGGTCTCCCTCACTACCGGTATGGATCTGTCAGCTCTGTCCGGCAGCAACCATCTGATCCCAGTACCCTCAGTACCAGGTGCATGTGCACCAGACTCCAATGCTTATCCCAGTGGACCAACAGGACGTGTCTCATGTAGGTCTTTCCCAGTTCGGTACCAGGTCCCCTCTAAACAGCGTTTAGTGACAGGTCAGAATGGGACCAGCTGAGTCAAGTGCAGTGTCACCTGATGTGTATTTGTTGCAAAAGGCACAATTATTGTGCTGTACATGTGGGTGGCACAATCATGTATTTAAATCAATTTGGAACACGCTTCATTATGGTTGTCATTGTTAATGTGTTCCAGCTGAAAGCATTCGTCAGAGCACAATGCACAGTGTGCAATGAAATGCAAAATCACTCTTGATTATTTTGCCACTTCACATCTGCGGGCTAGGCATTGAACTGATGACTGCTGAACACTGGTTCACTGAATACTTAAAATGTACCTGTTTTCATTAAGCACACATTGTAATGAATGAACTACTTATTGTTCTGAAGCTGATAAGAAAAAAATATACCAAAGTCTATTTTATGTTGTTAAAAAAAGACTTTTATACTTCCTCTTATCTGTGTGTGCTGGTGCATGCATGCATGCAAGATACACTGACTCCTATTGATTGGGCAGTTGTGTCGCAGGCCATCTCTCTGAGTAACAGCTCCACCAGGCACTGTGTCAGTCAGCATTACAGCTGAAGATGCTGCTATGCCCCCTCCAACTCCCTCCACCCTTTCCTGTCAGTGTGTATGATGGACAGTTCCCTTCAACAGCTTCCCACAAACACACACACATACTCAGACGATCCCTTTCTCTCTGTTCTTGTCCTTGTCTCTTCCGCTCACACACACAAAAATGCAGAAGTGGCTGCACACACGTGTACACACACACGCACACACACACACACACACACACCCACACACCCAAGGCTAATTCATTATGAGCTGAATATCTGCTGTGAAAGATATAGAACGTTTGCTTAGTCATTTGGAGTGGGGTACTCTGTGTTCTCGTTATATTGTGTGAGGGAAAAAGATAAGTTGACGATTCATCCCCAAGGCAATTTCTTTTACAATAAAAACAGCAGCAAATGTAATCCAAAAAATGTCCCTCTATGTTTTGGAAAGTGAAAATGAAACGTGTGTCTTTGCATTACCTTCACAATAGGGACAAGGGCACTGAATTACAGGCTTTCTCAATCCCTCAATATTTCTCAAATTATGATGCTGAAGATCTTAATCGATTTATAGTCATTTAATACTGACATAAACCAACAAACAAACCACAACATCTCATTGATTAAATATGAATAGAGGGGCTCTGAGTTTAATCTGCATGGTAATCAATAGAGTAATGAATTATGTGTGTACTGTCGAGCAAGACAACTGAGCTGAATGTGAAAGAGGTGCCAGCGTAGCTCAGTCATTGACTGATAGTTACAGGCTCACTCTGATATACATACAACAAAGACCTGTCAAAATAATGCACTATCTGGCCTTAAAAAGCAACAACTACTCTGATTATCTGTCTTCAAATTACAGTCCTAATGCTACATTAATGCATTTGGTTTCAGGGTTTAGTTCACCTTGAGTTAAAGCAGTACACGTTTTAGGATGTTGTGTTCCCTGATGGAAAATAACTGGTAGCAAAGCATCAAGTACAGTCAATATCACAAATACAGAAAAACAAAAAGACACCACATTAACAGTAGCTCAAGGTAAAAACTGAGTAACCAGGGACTTGTAGGCCAAGAATTGTGCAGTTATGACTAATTGAACTTACAGCTCTTGTCAAAAAACACATTTTTTGTTCCCTGTGAAGACTTTTTCGGATTGTCTTTACATAAAATCAGCAGTGATAACAGTGCCAAGACACCAACAATCCTGTTTTCTGTTTCCACTTTCATAATACTGTTACATCTTAATATCTGCTCTGCAAATCTTTTATATCGGATTGTACTGTTCTTATTTGTTGTACTTTATTTGGCCAGTCAGCAGTGGTAGGAAATGCACTTACTGCAGTTACGTTCCATCACAGCAAGTGACAATATTTATTTTTAATATTATACATGGTCCCTTTCAAATACACGAAATAAATGAAGTAGTTATATACAACTGGAGCTTTCGATAGTAAGAATTCAAACCACGATGACTCACTTGGGGTGTTGTGATGTAGTCGAGGAACCTTTTAGCTTCTTCCTCCAGAGTATGACTCTCACCGGCCCAGGGCTCCAAGTCTATATGCCACCGAGGACTCTGTAGTGGAGCGCACACACACACGTACGTGATTATTAACAAACGAATAGTGCATGACAATTGAAAATTAATTAACATCAAAGTAGGCCAATCAAAGAAATCCAGTGCAAGGACAACAACAAAGGGAGCTTTATTCTTCCAGGTATTGTAACCCACTTGTGTATACTGATGGAACTAGGTCACAATGTGCTGAGTGGAGGATTTTTTTCCCCCCACCTGTGTGTTAGTGACAAATAAGCTGCTTAAGTTGATTTCCATTGTTATTTTAGTAAAAATGGGGCTGCTATTTATCCTCATGCATTCTGCGCTGCAAGGTATACAGGTGAAAAAGATCGAATGTAGAAAGTCCGGCTGTGTTTCACAGTGGAAAAATAAGACTTATGTCCCCGTCAGTATGGCTATAGCAGCTCAGTGCTGCTGTGTTATCACATTCCTAAAACCTGGCAGAGCTCTGCTTTACAGCCTGCTTTCTACAGGAATGTGTCTGTTTATGATTAGAGGAGAGGCAATGAGATGGAGAGAGAAGGAAAAGAGGATCCGAGAAGCCAGCAACATCTTGCCTGCTTCATTTCTTTGTATCTCCCCTTACAGGGGTGTAACATAATGATGCATTTGCTGGTTGCACAATAAGTTCTTGGGTCAAACACATGGCCCGATTTCATTAGCACCCCCCGGTACAAATTATCCTGGGTGATTTCACGTTAGAGTGCGGCCTTGCCTGAAACGCTCCTGCCTTCATCAGTATTTTATGGGCACTGCAGTTTCAGATTTTCCATGGTTTTGCCACAGATAATTTTTTGGCTTCGTGAAACAGATCATGTTTGGGTCTGTTTGATGCTGTGGGCACATCGGGTGAGCAATCTGTAAAGGGCACAACAGGTCTGTTTCGGAAAATAATTTTGTGTTGTAACTCACACCCATATTTCCATGACTCCAATTACATATTTTCTCTCTCTCTCTCTCTCTCTCTCTCTCTCTCTCTCTCTCTCTCTCTCGCTGTCTCTCTTTCTCTCTCTCTTACTCTCTCTCTAGTCACCCACTGCTGCCCGTCAGTTTAGCTTCGTGATTGCAGGCTCAACACAATGGGGCGTCATTGCTCAGCCACTTTGCTTTACAATGACACTGTTATTTCAACAAAAGTGGCTTAGTGTGATGTTATAATTGAGATAGTGTAAAGGTCAACGCCCTCATATTTAATTCATGATACAAGCCAGTGGATTGTTTACATACTGTAGAGTTCAATTCATTACAATCTAAATCTGCATGGAAATTAAGAAAACATGCTGCCAAAACATCACATATACACGTATGGATTTGCAAGGTGCAAACATTTCTGTACACACATTATGAATCTGCACATATAGATCTGAAACCATGCAATGATTATCTACTAATCCATTTTCTATGCGAGGGCTGTCTTTTCCCTCTCAATACACATGTACAACTACACACTTGTGAATTATCTATGGTAGCACCATGTGTGTCATTTCCTCTTCCAGTGATGCCGATCCTGGATCTGCCAACACAGAGAATCAGCTGTCCCTTAAATGGCTGCAGTGTTGGATCCACGCAACACTACTCACTGTTTGGCATTCAGCCTTCAATTCTTCCCCTCCTCTCTCCATCATGTCATCCCTCTATTTCCTTTTCTGTCTTTCCTCCTCTGGCTCCTACACTCTGCGTCTCAGTATGAAATAAATGCAATGGTGATCATCAACATAATCACCCTGCAGGAAAAATAGGGTGATAAATGTATGGATATTTAATTTTCTCCTTCAACTGTTGACCTACGACTATGCCTCCACAGTTCCTCCATAACATTTTGATTCAGATCTCATAGCAAAAGAAAACCTCAAATGTGAAGGCCACACTGGTCCAAAAATGCAGCAGTGAGCAACTCCGAGTCCTTCCTGCAAAGCTCACCTATCAGGCCCCATACATCAGCCTGGTACAGGTTGGGACAGGACTGCTGATCAGGTGGCAGATATCTGGGACAATGGACCCATGGAGAGTTTGCAGTGTATAAGGTGGGATTTAGGAACAAAAAGTGGAGAAGGAAAGGACAGAGTGTGGGTCAAATGCATACACATTCTCCCTGAAATGCATGGCAGAGAAGGAATGGAAATATTGGCATATTTTGGCAACGGAATCCGAGGTTTCTCGTTCAAAGACATAACTGGAAAGCAGCCGGTGTCAGACTCGTACAACTCGGGTTTTCAATCCATGTCTGTTTTCCTCGCGGGCTTTTCATGTGAGGTTATTTGGTGAAAAATAAATGCAACCTTTATCTAACGACACATTTGTTTTTTTGCTGCATGTGCTAAAACTGACATCCAATATAGATATTTTGTGCGCGCGCATTAAACTATACATGTCTATGAGCTCTTACAAACTGCTGACTCATCATTTAGCAGAGATGAGATTAGTGTTAAGCCCCATGTTCAGTCAAGCAACAACAAGTCATCAGCGGCTCAGGGACAGCCGAGGTGTTAATAACAAACACAGAACATCACTCAGAACTGTCGAGCCTCAGCTGTTTAGCCCTTAATCCCATGACATTAGATACAGCAACCTCCTCAGCATAAGCATTCCAAAAAAAAGTATTTAGTAGTAGTGTGTTTGCAGCTGAAAATTTTCACTGAAAGAAATTGATGTTTTAGAGTGAGTGCCGAGTGAAGTTGAAAGCTCGGTTTGCCTTCAAGCACTGAAAGGAATTGAAATGTCAGTTTAAAAAGCAAGTGATGAATTGAATTTGAAGGATCAGTTGAAGTGGAGGTCTTCAAAGAAATTAGTAGCAGTTCAAGTGTGTAAACTGAAATCTGTTGGTGTAATAACATTGGAATTGTCAGTTGTCAGCTGATGTCAGTTGAGGTATTTGCTTCAGTTGTTGTAGTTCTTTTTAGCTCAAAGGTGACAATCTGAGACCTGAAAGGGTTCGACATGTCATTTGAACTGTGATCACTGACAGCAGATGAACTCTCAGTTAAATAAGGAGATGATTAATTGAATTTAACTGCAGACAAAGTTAATAGAACAAGGTCAGGGATAAAATGGAACTGAATTGTTTTCTATCGGTCTTTTATCCTGATACACTTGCCTTTCCTTTTCATTTCATCTCTTAGGAATTTAAAAGGAGTTTTTTTGTTTTATTTCCTCCTTGCCCCCCCTTTTGATTGCTCTGTTACGGGGCCTGCATGTCTCGATGGAGCAGGATGTGTTAGTGGATCTGTGCCTCTCAGCCTGGTGTGAGAGAAGTGTGAGCAGCCAGGCCAAGCATGAATAATCCCCTGGGGAGAAGAGGATGGATGGGTGGACAAGAGATGACTGGATAAAACAAGAGAGGACGGTCTGCCAGAACAATGAAGGAGGGGGAGGAGAAGGGAAGTAGAGGGGAGGGGGAGACGGACTTGTAAACAGAGGAGGAAATGTGCCTCATTGTGAAGGCAGAAGAAGAGTTCTACACCTGTATATGGATTTACACCAAGAATAAAAAAAAGTCAATACATAACGATCGATGACTGTGTGGTCAGATCATCTCAGAGGACACAGGCAGTGCTTGAGTAAACAAATTGTCTCAGGTGTATCAAATGTCACGGAGGAGCCAGCCACAGGTGAGCAGTGTCTGTCCATTTGGAAACCATAAGGCCACAGACGGAGTGCTGCCAAGTCGGCCCCGTCTGTTGGTAGAGTGCCAGGGTGCCAGGGTGGCTGAGTGTTTTTTTTGCGATTACTGCAGACGCTTCCGAGACGTACCACCAAGCTGTGCAGTCAAGAGGTCAAAGCTTTCAGGTCAACACCGTGTGGAATATTATTTTAACACTATGGAGTGTCTTGAAGTTATAGGAAATGCTCCTTGACAGGCTATATTTTCTTGACAGCTTGGGTAAAAAAACTGAATAGTACCTAGCATCTGTGCCAAATGAAGGTCAAGGCATGCCATGGACAAGTGGGCAGACAGAGACGTTGTGGTTTAATGAAACAGCAGGTGGCTGATTCACATTAGCCTCCCTTTGATTTATAGGAGTTGCTGAACCCAGTTGAGAGACTTTATCAAAGACGTGTGCTCCATGGGGGCTGTGCTAATGCGTTTGCAGGAAATATGAAGAAAGATTCTATGTTTTGTGTTTGTGACGCTCAGAACTTTGGTTTAATGTAACATTTATCACAAAGTAAAGAGCTTTATTGCATTTAAAACAAAACAGAATCATATCTAAGGCAAAAGCAATTTCCCAGTATTTTTTTATTAGGAAATAAAACCTACTTAATACTTACATAACTGCATTTACAGACAGGTCATTGGATATTTCGCCTCACAGTAAATACTTGATACATGCCATACCAATTGGCTAAAAATGAGGAAGAAAAACTAGGCAAATGAGGATCTACCACATTGCTGCTGAAATACTCAGAAATCACAGACATTATTTGCAAAAGGTACATCATAATGTTGTTTTTTTTGGACTGTGTGTATAGTTATAATGACATGATAATGGATGGTGAATAGTGTAACGGGACATGGAGCTGAGATCACACACATCATCTGTCAGAAGTCATTCATCCTGCTTTCGTTCTCTCTTTACCTCCTTCTATTTCTGTGTCATTTGAAAGATTTATTAGGTTCTTGATATGATGATCTTGTGATTATTGTTGTTGTGGTAGTCAACCACAGTTTTGGCAGGTACTAGAGATGTTTACTGTGAGTAAATCAAGTGAGAATTGATGACAACAAAAGACAGATGATTCGATTTTACACTCGTTGTTGTGACTGACTTTAAGGAGGCTACAAAGTTTGCAAAGCAAAAGAGTATCCGACAGGTTTGTTAGTGGTCGGATCAGACACCTGCTGCATTCTGGGTATTTAGAACATCGGTCTCAGTGAATGCATATTATGTTAAATCAGCTGGTGGCAGACCAAAAAGATAGAGGATTATTACATCAAGAGCAAAATAAAATCTGTATATTGAGAGGATTGATACTGACAGCATGACTGTAGTTGTAAA